CCGACGCTCTAACCGCTGAGCCAAACCGGCCAGGGCCAAAGAGAGAATCTTTTTTTTTTTTTTTTTTTTTTTATCCTCACCTGAGGACATTTTTCCATTTTTTGTACAGATAGAGTGGGAGGGAGAGAGAGGAAGAGAGAGAGAGAGAAACATCGATGCGAAAGGGACACATCGAGTGGCTGCCACCCGCACAACCAACCAGGGCTAGGGACAAACTGCAACCGAGGTACATGCCCTTAGCGGGAACCGAACCCGGGTCTCTCTGGACCGCAGGCGGACGCTCTAACTGCTGAGCCAAACCGGCCAGGGCCCAAAGAGAGAATCTTAAAAGCAGCAAGAGAAAAGCAGTTAGTTACCTACAAGGGAGTTCCCATAAGGCTGTCCGCTGATTTCTTTTTTTTATTTATTTTTATTTATTTTTATTTTTTTTTATCCTCACCCGAGGACATTTTTCCATTTTTTGTACAGATAGAGTGGGAGGGAGAGAGAGGAAGGGAGAGAGAGAAACATCGACATGAAGGGACACATCGAGTGGCTGCCACCCGCACGACCAACCAGGGCCGGGGACAAACTGCAACCGAAGTACGCGCCCTCAGCGGGAACCGAACCCGGGTCTCTCTGTACCGCAGGCCGATGCTCTAACCGCTGAGCCAAACCAGCCAGGGCCAAAGAGAGAATCTTAAAAGCAGCAAGAGAAAAGCAGTTATTTATCTACAAGGGAGTTCCCATAAGGCTGTCCGCTGATTTCTTAAAAGAAACTTTGTAGGCCAGAAGGGAGTGCCAAGAAATATTCAGAGTGATGAAAAGCAAGAACCTACAACCAAGATTACTCTGTCCTGCAAAGCTATCATTTAGAATCGATGGCCATATAAAGACTTTCCCAGACAAGAAAAAGATAAAGGAGTTCATCACCATCAAACCATTATTATATGAAATGATGAAGAGTCTTTTTGAAGAAAAAGATAAAATATATGAACAAACAAAATGGCAATGAATACATATCTATTGAGAATGGAATCTACAAACAAAATGAACAGGCAGAACAGAAACATTCTCATAGATACAGAGAACATTTTGTTGGTTGCCAGATGAGAGGCGGGTTGGGGGAATGGGTGAAAAAGGTGAGGGGATTAAGAACTACAAATTCATTGCTAGACTGACAAACCTCAAAGGGAAAGGGGTTGGGGGGTAGGAAGAAATAAACCAAAGAACTTATATGCATAACCAATGGACATAGACAATAGTGTGGGAAAAGGTGTGAGGGGGGCGGGAGTGGGAAGGAGGGGGTCAATGGGGTAAAAATGAGGAACATCTGTACTACATTCAACAATAAAGATTAAGAAAAAAATGTCCTCGAGTGGGGATAAAAGAAAAATAGTATTAAAATCTTCTCTATATATTTTTGGCTATTTGGTTTATCAGTTACAGAAAGAAGTCTTAAATCTCCTACCATGCTGGAGGATTTGGCAAATTTTCCTTGTACCCGGTCACTTTGCTTTATACGTTTTTCAATCCCTTTTAAACCTCTAACATACAAGTTCAAAATTGTTACATATTTCTTGATAATTGCTCTTTTCATCATTTGTGTGACCCTCTTTTTTTTTTAATCCTCACCCGAGGACATTTTTCCATTTTTTGTTTAGGTAGAGTGGGAGGGAGAGAGAGGAAGAGAAAGAGAAACATCCATGTGAAAGGGACACATCGAGTGGCTGCCACCCGCACGACCAACCAGGGCCCGGGACAAACTACAACCAAAGTATGTGCCCTTAGCGGGAACCAAACCCGGGTCTCTCTGGACTGCAGGCCGATGCTTTAACTGCTGAGCCAAACCGGCCAGGGCTATGTGACCCTCTTTATCCCTAATAATAACTTTTGCCGTAAAGCCTATTTTCTCTCTTTTTCCTATAGATAGTATTTTTGGTTAGTTTTTCTCAAACATACCTTTTTTCCCTATTTTTACTTTTGGTGCCTTAAGGTCTTAAATGTCCTGATAAATAGCACAGAGCTGCATTTTAGTTTTTCTTGGCCAATCTGATTATGTTTTAATAGATGAATGTAAAACATTTCCTACCATTCTTTTTACTTTGCTTCCTTTTTCTTCTTTTCTGCCCTCTATTATATTTTAATGCCCTTTACTTTTTCTCTTTTCTGTATTAGAAGTCAGTTTATATTTCTAGTCTTTTAGTGATTCCTCTTAAGTATCTGAAATACATGCTTGACTGTACAAAGCTGGACAATTATCTTTATCCTCTTCCTCCTCTCAAATAAATCAAGCTTCTTAGAACACCTGACTTCTGATCACCCTCCCCAGTCTTACCTGTGTTCCATGCTTCTTGTTTTGCACTCCACAAATTAATCACCACTATTCATGTCCCAATTAAGTGCTTATTTGGATGACGTACATGTTTACTAGTTTAGTTGCTCACCATTTTCCCATCTAATTTCTTATCTTTAGAGTTTTTCAAATTCACTACAACGTGCCTAGATGTTATTTTCCTTTATCCTGCTATGGATTTTATGTGAGGATACTGGTCTTTAATTTTGGATACTCTTCTTAAGGAACTGCCCCTACCATATTTTCTTTTCTCTCCTTCTGGAGTTCTAATTAGACTTGTGAATTCTCACTTTACCTTTCCAGCCACTTCCTTTTATATATTTCATTGCTTTGTTTCTCTACTTAATTGTTTCTGATTATTCTCCAGTTCAGAGATTCTCTTCTGGTGTGTCCACTCTGCTTTTTTGCCTCATCCTTTGAGACTTGAATATCAAAGCTCTATTTTCAATTCTAGGAATTTCTTTTAACACTATGTTCCTTTTTGGTGACTTGCTCTGTCATGTTTTAATCTCGCCCACCTCTTTTGCCTTTTCTAACCCTAAGCCGTGAGGAGGACTTTTTGGCTCCCTGTCATCCTCAGCACCTCATAAAGTCCCTGGAACTAACACACTGAGAGTGCGCTGTCAGACGGCAGTGACAGGAGGAGAGGATGCTGAGCAGCAGCCTGGCCCGCGATTTCCCTGCCGCCAAACCTGCAAGCTGAGTCTGCTCCCTGGAGGGCCTCTTGGCTTTCCAGTCTCTGCTCAGCCAGGGCCTGGGGCACAGGGTCTGCGCAGACCATGACGTCACGGGACTGTGACGCGTCCTGGGAGCCACCCCCCTTCCTGGTGCGGGACGGGAATCCAGGTTCTCTGCGCCCTGACGTCAGGGTCCGGGCGGGCGGATTTTGCGTCGGCCCAATGGGAGCAGAGCGCCGGCCTCCCCTTTAAGGAATGTTGTGACCTGACGTCACCGGAGCGAGTTACCTCCCTGAGCCTCTGCTGCTGGGCTCAGCGTGAGCCCCAGAGCCCTTGAGCGTGAGGTGCGGCGCCCCCGGAGTCCCTGTACCGCAGCCACATCCCCGCCCCGAAGCCCCGGCCTGCGCGCCCCGCCGGGCCCGCGAGATGCCCTCCGACCGGCCTTTCAAGCAGCGGCGGAGCTTTGGTGAGCGATCTGCCAGTGTAGGGTTTGGGGGTGGGGGCGCGACCGACCTACCGCCGCGGGTGACGTCAGCCCTGTGACGTCAGGTTCTAGCCGACCCCGGGCTGGGAGGCAGGTTCAGGCCTGGGCCGGGACCTCCCAACCCTGTCCTGTGGCCAGGCCTGTCAGCCGGCTCCCGGGGGCGGGGGCTTTGGGGAGGTGGGGCCGGGCCGCCCCTCGGGACAGGCGGGGCAAACCGCGGGAAGGACCTAGGGCCAACCTCACCGCCTGACCTTCGGCAGCCGACCGCTGTAAGGAGGTGCAGCAAATCCGCGACCAGCACCCTAGCAAGATCCCGGTGAGTCTCGCCTGAGTCTCCCCGGCTCCCTGCCATCCGCACCCGGCCCCAGGCCCCGCCCCAGGCTCTCATGTCCCCGCCCCACCCTACCCTGTTCCCAGGTGATCATCGAGCGCTACAAGGGTGAGAAGCAGCTGCCAGTCCTGGACAAGACCAAATTCCTGGTCCCGGACCATGTCAACATGAGCGAGTTGGTCAAGATAATCCGGTGTGTGGGCAGCAGCCTTCAGAGGGGGACTTCGGGTCCTGTTGGAGTTGGGCAGAGGGCCAGGTGCTTCAAAGAAGGGGGCGGGGCATAGGATGAGGCTTTGGGTCCCTACACTGGCGAGGTTGGGAAAGTTCAAGGTCAGAGCTGTAGTCAGGTCAGAGGTGAGACTCTAGAAGGCTGGGATGGGTGTGAAGCGGAGACAGGGTATCATTTTGGGGAGGGAGTCGGGGCTACAGCCGCCCAGTAGCCGGCCCCTCACTGTCGGCATGCACTCCTGTCCACCTCAGGCGCCGCCTGCAGCTGAACCCCACGCAGGCTTTCTTCCTGCTGGTGAACCAGCACAGCATGGTGAGCGTGTCCACGCCCATCGCGGACATCTATGAGCAGGAGAAAGATGACGATGGCTTCCTCTACATGGTCTACGCCTCCCAGGAAACCTTCGGATTCTGAGCCAGCAGTAGGGGGGAGAGGGGGGCCCTGTCAGGCTCTGCTCAGGGAGCTCTTGGCTCCTGAACTGAGCTACCTCTACCCCTGGGGGGCTGGGCAGGGATGCTACCCCTTAGTCCCTAAGGGGAAACCAACCACTCTGACTCTGCCCTGTGGGGAGCCTGGGCCTGTCATGTTAGGGTTGCCCCTCTGGGTGCGGGCTGGGGGATGGTGGGGAGCAGCACCCCTGGCTCTGTCTGGTTTGTCTTTTTTATTTTAGGCCCCCGCCTGTCTCTGCCCCTCCCCCACCCGAGGCTCTGCTTCCTGCCTGGAACTGCCCACCCCTGAAGGACTGGCTCCTGGCTCACCTGGTCTTGACATTGGTGTATGGATCTGTGGTCATTGTCCCTCTGCAGAATAAAGATTGCTCAGGCCTGCCTGGCCCTTTGCCTCCAGCTACTTGGGGTGTGGGGGAAGACTTGTGGACTTAGGGTTCATTCTGGAAACCCACACCCCTGTGTAGTATATGCCATGGCAGTATTAGGGGCCCAGGGTAGACTTAATACCAAAAAAAATTTATTGAGTCAACATCCTAACAAACCCTGCTCACCTGCTTCTTCCCCTTTTCTGCCTGGGAGGGGGCTCCTTTGTGTGTAGAGCCAAAAACTGTTAGTCCAAGTAGAGGTGCTCCTGGCAATGCCCCACAGGCCTTGCTGCCAGCCATGGCTCTTCTCTGGTGCCAAGATCATGACCCTGGACTTGAACCTCATCTGCCTGAGGACTTGCCTGCTGGCAATTCTGGCTAGAGGATTTGGCCCAGCTCCTGGCCTGTCCACCCCCTGAAGTCTGTGCAACCCTGTGCCCAGCCAGGCCTACTTGAGCACAAGCATGGCCTCCGTGCCGTCCTTGGCAGTCAAGTAGAGACCATGAGTGAGGTAGTACTCCCGCCGCAGGAAGGCATAGAAGTAATCGGAGATCAGCAGGATCTGTGGGGGTTGGGGGGAGAGGAGAGAGACAGTGAGCAGCTTTGAGGTACACCCCCAAACCTCGGGTCCCTGAGGAGCTAGGCAGGTGTTGGGGAGACCCTACCCAGGGACCCTGCCCTCAGGACCGACGCTTGACCCTGCAAGGTCTCACTGGCATCTCAGAAGTGCTCGTATGACCCTCCCTCCCTCTACCATTGCCTACACCTCCTTCTCAAGCCCTGGCCTCTGAACTCCAGACTGGTACTTCTGCAACCAGAGGACCCTCCACCTCACCTCTTGGGTGTACCCCAGCCTGGCTGTCAAACCAGCCTCTCCCGCAGGGAACTCAGGCCCCACATCTTCTAGCCAGCTGCTCAGGCCAGAATCACCTGATACTTCTCCCCTATACACAGCCGCTAAGTACTGTCAGCCCTAAACTCTCAAGTCTACCCATTTCTACCCATCTCAACAGCTACCATCCTGGACAAAGCCACTGTCATCTCAACAGCAGTCCCCTCTCTGGGCTCCCTGATCTCAAAACTCACCCCCCTTTCCGGTCCATTTTTCCCTAGCAGCCAGAGGTTGCTTTTCGAAACAAACCTGGTCCTTCTCTAAAGGTTTCCTATGGTTAGAAGGGTAAAGATCAAGCTCACTGGGGCTCCAAGGCCTTTCACCTGGTTCCTGCCCGTGTACATGTGTTACCTTCTCCCCTGTTCCACCTCACTCTGCTCCAGCCACAGTGGCCTCTTCCCTCCTCATGCGGGAGTGTTGCTGTTTCCTCTGCCTGGAATGCAGTCTCCCCTTTCATCTGGTCAAAATCTGCTTGCTCTTCAGATCTCAGGAAGGATCTTCCTCAGAGAAGCCCACCCAAATCCCACAGATTGGGTCTTGGCCTCATTAACCTCTATTTGGTAACACAAACTCATCCAAATTGCAGTTTTACATTAGTCTCTGCCTGCCTGATGACTGTGATCCTTCCTCCCCTGCACTGGGCAGGGTCCCTGAGTGGTTCTGCCACCATGGTATGTGTGCCTAGCTCAATCTGTCTTTCCCATATGGACCACAGCATCAAAAGAGCCCTGCCCTGGCCAGTTTGGCTCAGCGGTTAGAGCGTCGGCCTGCGGTCCGGAGAGACCCGGGTTCAGTTCCTGCTAAGGGCACGTACTTCGGTTGCAGTTTGTCCCCGGCCCTGGTTGGTTGTGCGGGTGGCAGCCACTCGATGTGTCCCTTCACGTCGATGTTTCTCTCTCTCTCTCCCTTCCTCTCTCTCCCTCCCACTCTATCTGTACAAAAAATGGAAAAATATCCTTGGGTGAGGATAAAAAAAAAAAAAAAGAGCCCTAGAAGCATAGCCCACCACTACCCTCAGTGGCCCAGAGCAGAATGGACTTGCCAAGTTCCCCCACATGCTGGACCTACAATCTCACAATCCATTTGTCCCAAGACCTCCAATGCCTGGAGTGGGAAGGGGCAGGACCCAGCCCTACGAAAGTATGAGGAGAAAGGCTCACCAGTACAGACACCACCAACTCTCAGGCACCTAGAATAGCCTCTGACCCTGAGACCCCAGTCCTGGGCAGCCTCTCCACACTGTGGGCTCCTGAGCCGCTCCTCTAGGCCACTGTGTGCCCTCTTCTCACATGGAGGACACAGAGTGGCCTCGAGGAGGGGCTCAGGACCAACACCTGTGATGGCTTCAGAACAAGGACACCACTGGAGCCTGTCTAGAAGGATGATGTAAATTAAGGCACAAAGGGTTAAATAGTTGGGTCTAAAACTATACAGGGAGAGCTGGACTTGTGGCCAATACTCTGCAGGGCCATGCACCAGGGGCCCAGTCTGCGAGAGGGCACAAAACTCAGCCCCTGTGGGTTATAGGCAGAGCAGACAGAGCCAAGGGAGCCCTCAAATCCTTGTGCCACAGGTGCCCTATGGGGGCAGGTATCACGGCAAATGCTGACCTCATACCCAGTAGCCTCTTTCTCACCCAGGCCCAAGGTTCCCGGTCTGGGAGTTGGGGAAGCCTGTAGCTGTGGTTGAGCTGGTGGGGTCTGATCCCCAAGCCAAGTCAGAGGATGGGCAAGTGCAAAGTCATAACTCACAAAAGAAAATTACCAATGCCAGTGTCATACACAATCAGCTGCACAATAGTAGGAAGTCAAAGTATTAGGTATTAGGTTGAGCCATATGAATTTGCCAGTTCTTGTAGATCAGAAACAGTTGAATATTGTCAATTTTATAGTTCAATAAAATATAAAAGTGAAAAGAACCAAGAAATACAAATAGAGTAATCATGTTATTCAGAAGTTCCAGAACAAATAAGAACAAATAAGTTGTTATTCTTTTTCCTTATAAGCCTGAACTTTGTAAATTATATGCATTATGTTGATAAGAATAAAAATCCAATTAATAACAATCAGCCAATATATGATTGAATACATAAATGAAGGGAAATTCCTTTTGGTATCCTTGCAGAAGAATTCTGAACAATATATGTAGCTATTCCCCTCTTCAGGAAGTGGAGCTTAATTCTTGCCCATTCCCCACCCCTTGCCCCTGAGAGGTGGGCTAGGCTTGGTGACTAACACCCACAGAGCAGGGAAAGGGAAAAGGGCAACTTTCCCCTGGAGGAGCCTAGAAACAGTCATAACCAGATGATGAAGGATAACAGCATGAAACTATGTGGCTAGCATGTACTTGCTGCCCGAGTGTTCCAGAAACCCCAAACCTGGTCTCATGATGAGAAAAGCATCAGACAAACCCAAAGTGGGGACACTCGACAGGCTACCTGGCCAGTGCTTGTCAACACTATCCAGGTCATGAGAAATGAGGAAAGCGAGCAGAGGACAACAGGGAGACATGACAACTAAATGTAAATGTGTCTCTGACTGGATCCTGAAAGGACATGACAGGGAAAACTGGTGAAGTGGATTTCATCAGGTCTGGGGTTAATAATAACAGACCAGGGTCAATTTCTTGGTTTGACAAATGCGTCATGGTAACAACGTAAGATGTTAACTCAGGAAAGTGGTTGTGGGCATATGAGAACCCTGTAAAATCTAAATGTATTCCAAAATTCAAAGTTTATTAAAAAACAACAATGCACTGTTGTTATGTTAAACAAGATAGATAAGCCACAAAAACATTTTGCTGAGTAAAAGAGGCTTCGAAAATGTATGTAAAATCATATAGTATTTTTCACTGTATGTAGATTTCACATAAGAAAAATGTAATTGGGCCCTGGCCGGTTTGGCTCAGCGGCTGGAGCGTCGGCCTGTGGACCAGAGAAAAATGTAATTGGTACTGAGCTCTGGCTAATAATATACATGCTGAAATATTTAGCAGAAAATGTACCGAGGCCCGCATTTCATTTTGAAATACATTAAAGAAAAGAAAGGTTGAGGGATGGATAATTAGCAATTGCACAAGTAAAATGTTAATGACAGAGTCTAGAGGTTGGTTATATGGGTGTTCAATATTCAATCTTTCAACTTTGCTGTGTGTGAACATCTGCACAATGAAGTGTCAGAGGAGGGTGGCGTGGAGGGAAGAGCCGTGTGTGCTGGCGTAGTCTGGACAGAAGGTCACTAGTCCTGAGTGGTGCCCTGCTCCTGCCCCAGGGAGAAAGCATCCTGTGGACACGGACTGGCGGAGGCTTGGCTCTTTCAGAGGGAAGCCCCTGGCTGGTCGAGGCTGGCTGAGACAACCTCTCCTGACCTTGAAGCTTTCCATTTGGGCTGAGGAGAAGGGATTTCCCAGAGGCCCTGCGATTCAGCCAACACAGCAGCTGCAGACCCAGAACCCCTTTGCCCAGTCTGGGCAGGGGAAATTGGGCAAGGGGCAGTGGATATACCATGGTGAGTTAGTGGCTGTGTGACCCTGTGCAAGTCACTCCCCCTTCCCTAAGCTGCCTTTCCCTCATCTGTAAAATAAGTGACAAACTCTGGTTTATTACCCACAACAGTGGCTCCCCTGGTCCTTGCTTTCAGAGACCTAAAGAGCAGCCATTCTTTTTATTTGTTGTTAATCCTCACCTGAGAATATTTGTCTGTTGATTCTCAGATAGATTGGGAGGGAGAGAAAGAGAAAGAAAAAAACATTGATGTGAGAGAGACACATCAATTGGTTGCCTCCCACACAACCCCGACTGGGGCTGGGGATCTAATATGCAACCCGGGTGCGTGACCTTGACCAGAATCAAACCCTCAACCCTTCGGTCCACAGGCCAATGCTCTAACCTCTGAGCCAAACCAGCCAGGGCAAGCAGTCCTTCTTTAAAGCTGCCCTCACTGATGTGGCTGAGCCCCTCTTCTACCATCAACCACCAAGTCCTGCCAATTCCCTTCCTCTGACTTCCGACTCAGCCCCCCTTTCTCCTTCCCAATGCCTTCCTCATCCTCTGGCCCCCGGGGATCTTTAACACTAACACACACACACGCATACCCTTCATTTGCCTGCTCAGAAGCCAAAAGCTCCTACTTATCCCTCCAGAGGCATCATCTCCATCTCCTGCCCTCAGAGTCTTCGCTAACCCACACTCAGTAATGTGACCCCTGAACTGAAGTCATTTCCTGTTGGCCTCCCCACTAAATGGGATGGCGTCTGCTCCAGCTCTGTGGGCCCAGATCCAGTACAGGGCTGGCACTGGTCCCCATCCCCTCGACACGGCCCCAGCGAGGGTGCAGTCAGACCCCAGTCCTCTCACTGGCAGCCATGAGGGCTACAGGACTCCCCTTTAGGCCACAGTGAAGATTTAATGGGGCAGCTAATAAACGGGTGGTCAGGGACAGAGAGGGATAGATCAGAAGTGGAATGAAATGGTCAGAACATGCTCCGTTACAGGGTGGGAGGGAAGAAAGACACCATTCTGAGCATCTGCCACAGGTCAGGCCCTTTATGAAGAAGCACACTGAATTCTCACAACATTCTGGGGTAGGGCTTATGAGCCCCACTTAGAGGTTAAAGGTCTTACTAGGGTCACATGGGAATAAGGGAAGCATTTAGGCTGCAGTGCCCATCCT